ATGCAAGCTTCAAATTACCTTCGATTTTTTAGAATTTGTCTCTCAAGGGTGTTACATATTACATGAAACTTTCCAAAAAAAATTTCCTTATATATTTGTCTATAATGCTGCATTAAAACAAAACAAACATTTTAAACTTCATAACACAACGGTGTTCCTTCTTTATGTATCTTAGAGAGCCCATAAATTCATCGAGGTAACGCGGTGGTTGAGGTGAGCTTATTCCGTTCGGCTTTTGAAACAATTTCCATTTTAAAAAGTTTATCGGCTAAAACATTATTTTTATTTTGTAGTCTCGATGTGGGATCCTGTCTTTGTATTGTATAGGTAGTTAAGTCACATAATATATCTACCATTTTACTGTTGTAGTCATATATTTCCATTGCTGCAGTTTTGTTTCCTTTGTCAGATGTTAAAATTCGAATATTGTCATTTTTCCTCAGAAATTTCCGCGTCCGTTCTACTGTGTCTATAATTTTACACTCTATTGTACTTTGCTTATTTGTTGTTTTGTGGTATTTTATTAGCAATGATAATATGGTACGCGCCTCTGCTTGTTGCTCTTTGTCGTTAAGAGTTTGTATCAGATCTTCTCCATCCGCGATGTACTGAAAAAGAGGGCATCTCTTGTTCTCAATTGGTAACCCGAACTTTGGACCTTTCGACAGCAATGTTTTCACGTCAGGCGGGAACTCCACTTTCGTTTTATTTACAAACAAATCTTCATTCTTGTTGTTGTCGACAAAGATATTATTTCTTTTGTTCCGCAATTTGTCATATTTTAAATTCTTGTCGCTTTTTCAGTGTTGTTGTAAGCTTATCTGCGACGTTTTGCTCACTCTCCATGAGTTCTTTTAAGTTATCTGCGCTCAGATGTTTCTTTAGTTTTGTTGCTATTTCTTCTACCTTCTGTTTTTGTTTTCTTAATAAGTTATGTTTATGTTTGATCAGTAGACTTGCCCCCTTATTCTAGAACCCGAATTTTCGTAATTCGTAATTCGTAGCTACGCTACGAAAAACGAAAAATTCACATGCTGCAACCCTTGCGGAAACATGTGCAGCATTGCCAGCTGTCAGTTGTTGTTCGAAGACAGCTGAACGAAGGAAAACAAAGTGGAAAGGAGTTAAAAAAACACTCATGAGACGCTTATTTATAGTAAAATTGTTTGATTTTACATATTTTGGAGGAAACTATAGATTCTATTACATTTGCAATTATAACAGCGAAAGGACGCGCTATGGGAATGATTTCACAAAGATATGCGCATCTATGTCAGCTTCTGGTTGAATTGTTGAATCACAAGCCAAAACTCCTATGCCTGAAGAACTGGTTCTCAATCCAGTTAATGCAATAACAGCTTCTTTCAAGCCATTGAAAACACGAACTTTGTTAGGTCCACCACCTTTTGCGCTTGATTCTGCCTTCGGTCGCGCTTAGGGGTTATAACCCTTACTAAGTAGAATTCGCCTTTCTGTGTTGCCGGAGATGAGGGGCTTCCGCATGTCAAAGCTATACAACACTTCTCGTGCATATCACTCCGGCTACGCCATCCACAGTATTTTTGCGCAGAGCCCACATCGAAATTTGCAAAAGTGCAGAATTTATTAATAAGCTAGTGGTCGGAAATTTTAAAATTTACTTTCAATAAAAGTTGAATGCTTTGGTTACACGTGTATGTTCAAGTATTTGGATTCGTTTTATGCCTTTGGACACAACAACCGAAAATCATTGTCAAATAACTAAACCGGACCCAAGTTTCTCGATAAGGGGCATCAAAGATTCTTTTTTGCTTTTTTATATAAAGTAGTGGATAAAAATATACGTATATGCGAAAGGCAAATTTATCTGTTTAAATGTAGAACACTAATATTTCCTGCAAACACACATCGATTTACATCTTTTATCTCGCCTCCGACACAGAATTTTTTTCGTACAAAATTACGCAAAAAAGCTTACTCGTTCGTTTTGTTACGATGGGGGCGATCGCCCCCAGAGCTCAAAAAAGCAAAAATTCGCATAAAATATATTACCTTAAACGTGAAATTTGAAAAAAATTTAAGTTTTTTTTTTTTAAATATTTTTATTGAGCTTTGTACCACGATTGTTTATTAGGAAAATTTGAAAAAGCAACAAAGTCTAAGCGGTAGCAGGTGCTGAAGTCTAGAAAAAGAAGTCTGATGAGGAGATGTGGTGATCTCCGAAATAGTGCTATAACTTCTACCGCTTAGACTTCGTTGCTTTTTCAAATTTTCCTAATAAACAATCGTGGTACAAAGCTCAATAAAAATATTAAAAATAAAATGTTAACAAGCCACAATAACATTGACAAATACATAGTTTAGGAAGAGCCTGCCTGAAACTATACAAAAAAGCAAATAAGCAAATGGATGTATTGAATTGACAACAGCAACCACGCTGTCGAGTTTAAATAGCGGCAAATCAGCTGCACTTGAT